AAGAGTCACGTTGCCCGTGTCTGCCAGCCTCAAACATTGCTCTGTCCTTGTGTGTGGGTAGACCAGGACGAGTGTCAGAATGAAGTGTACTGCATCAACGGCGAGTGTCTGAACACGGACGGCTCTTACCACTGCTTCTGCAGCCTCCCCCTCGTGCTGGATGCCACCGGCAACCGGTGCGTGAACCTCTCCAGCAGAGCAGGTGAGCCTGAGCCCCCACCACAGCCCACCTTCGCCCCACACATCCCACCCTGCAGCTGGGTCTCCCGGGAGGGAGCAGCAGGTGGGGGCCCAGTGCCAGGCTGAGGGGTGACAGTGCCAGCACAGTGTGCAGGGGGGCAGGAGCTGGGGCACACGGTTGTCCCTCTCAGGACAAGGGGGATGGCACTCTTCTGGGTGATTTTTATGGCATCCTTTGCTTGTGGCACTCACAGATGCCTTGGAGGAGTACGAAATCCACCTGGATGTCTGCTGGCAGACCGTCGCCGACTACATCTGCCAAGACCTGCTGCACGGCGAGCAGACCACGTACACCGAGTGCTGCTGCCGGCTCGGCGAAGCCTGGGGCCAGAACTGCGCGCTCTGTCCGCACAGATCCTCCGGTGAGTGGGGTGGCATGGGCAAGCATCCCCCCAGCAGCAGTGGGGACAGGCTGGGCTCCTGCCAGTCGTGCTGGGCAGAGTTGGCCACATACGGCTGCACTGAGGGCTCCTCTTCTTGTCTGCATTGCCAAAGCCAGCCCAAGGAGTGGGTGAACCCCCCCTGGCTTCTCCAGGGCTGAGCTGCACCAGCACGTAGGATGTACCTGAAACTGGCTTGCAGAGTCCAAAGTGTCTGAGGGGAGAGTTGCTCTGTGCATCCAGCTTGGGAGAGGTGAGGCAGTGGCAGCCCGGCATGGGAGCACGCTGGGAATTGGGGTTCTCACTGCTCAAGGACTTGCTGGCCCCAGATAGGAGCTGGTCTTCTCAAAGATGGGGTGCCGTCAGCAAACTACAGAGCTGCAGTTTTGGAGGCCATTGAATGCAGGCCCAGCTCAGCTGGCCCGGTGTGGATGCACCCTCTCTGACCATAGCAGACCTACTTAACTTGAGCCAGGTTGTACTGACCCTTCCTTTTCTCTCACCACTTCCAGCTGATTTTGCTTTCCTGTGTAATGGGGCCAGTGAAGACAGTGAGAGAGGGGCTGAGCTCCGAGAAAGACCTCGGTATGAGTATGGACCAGGCTTGGAAGACCCCCACTATGGCCTTCCCAGCCCAGATATTGGCCCCTACTACAACTACCTGGAGTCCGAGTATGGAAACCCCGATTCTGGTTTCCCTCGGAGGGAACCCAACGGCGAGTTTCGTGGTAGCCCTCTCCACTATGGGCCAGGGCGGACCTCACCCCGCTATCTGCCCAGCCAAACTGGTGAGTACTCGAAGACACAGACATGTGCCTTCCCATCCAGCCTGTGTCCATGGGGACTACCTGGCAGCTCCCAGCCCAGCCAGGATGCTTCAGCCTTGGAGCAAGCTCTGCTCCTGGGTGCTCTGAGTCAGTCCTGGCCCCACCAGCAATGTCTTGCCACACTGGGCAATGTCCCCTCCATGGCTGGGCAGAGGGTCATCCTGCTCTGACATCATCTTGCCACCTTCTAGGCCTCTACGAGGGCTTCGAGGGGCTGCAGGCTGAGGAGTGCGGGATCCTCAACGGCTGTGAGAACGGGCGCTGCGTGCGTGTCCGGGAGGGCTACACCTGCGACTGCTTCGATGGCTTCCAACTGGACATGACCCGCATGGCCTGTGTGGGTGAGTGGTGGCCAGGGCCATCCCCGGGGCTTGCAGCCGTGGCTGTGCAGGCAGCCTGGCCTGGCATCCATCCCTTGGCGGCTGCCGCTCTCTGGCGGTGCTGGTTGGGACAGCTGCTAGAGGAGTCTCCGCTCTCCCTGGTGCTTCTGTCCCACAGAGCTGGGGCAACTATCCTGGAGTTTCAGCCGGCCGCTTTCTGCTGGCAGCTAAAGCAGGGCACCTCAGGGCATCGCGGGGAGCAGCTCATCACTCACTTCTTTGCGTGACACTCTTAGATGTCACCAGCCACTGTTCCTCTATCCCTGCTTGCTTTCCTCTACATTCACCACTGCCCTGGTGAAATTCCTCACTTTCCACCCTGCCCTATGAGACACGGTCTCTAAAGCTTCTCTCTGCATCTCCTCTACATCGCTATGCCATGTCTCCATCCTTTTCACAGTGCAGCTCCCTAAGCCAGCTGAGGCCGCAGGGACTCAACAGAGCAGATGAAGACCCTCTTTCCTCACGCATGGCACTTAACCCAGCTCCCAGCATCCTTCTTGCACAACATAGTCATGCAGCTACTTCATACAGAACCCATGGTCTCTGCCTCCCCAAATGCTGCTGGGCAGAATGGCTGCCTGATCTGTTACTCCTCCTTCTGCATTTGTGCACTGTTTCCTTTTCCTTGGCCGCCATGCTTTGCACTTGCATTCAGTGAATTTTTGTCTGGTTGATTTGGACTGCTTCTCTACTTGATCAGAATGAGTCGGAACCCCAGGGCCCTCCAGAATGCTGACATCACACATGTACATTTCATAATAATGGGAATTCTTCCTTTGTCCACCTTAATGACAACATTGAATGGAGTAGGGGTGAGGACAGACCCCTGCGGGCTATGCTTTAAATAGCTTTTATTGTAGCAGTCAGGTATTGCTAATTATCTTTGGAGTGCGGCTTTGCAGCCTGTTGTGCAATTGCTGCTGTTTCATCTAGACCATATTTTCTCAGTCTGCTTGAGTGTGTCATGTGAGAGCGTGTTGAAATCCTCACCGTGGCCAAGGCACATCATAGTCGCTGCTTCTCCCTTATCTGACATACCAGTTATCAGGTCAGCGAAGGGAACCAGATTGGCTTAACGTAATCAGCCCTTAACAGAGCTGCACCAGCTATTTAATGACCCTGATATCCTTTGGAGGGTTATGACTTAATCACTCACAAACCTGGCCTGCTTAAGGGAATGGGGGTGAGCAGTCTGTAGTTCAGGATTCTCCCTTTTCTGTTTTTGAAGATAGTTATCAGATTTAGCCTTCCTTGGGTCTCTGAGACCTCCTTTATCCTCCATCTCAGAGAGAACTGGCAACTTTTCAGGGGCAGCAGGAGCATTAAGCATGTGAATATGCGTTGCAGCAAGCCTTTAGCAATATGGATGTAACTACTTTTTATCTAGCTGATTGTCGAACTTCTCCATCACAGTACAGCCTTTCCCTCCCTGTGCTCCTGCACGCTCGTTTAAACACTTCAAACATGGTCTGTGCCCTGTCTGGTCACCACGAGTGTTTTTATGATGGCTGGAACAAAGCCCACGTTAGCTGCTCCAGCCAGCTCGGCTGGCTTTTGTTTCCTCCACCGATAAGGACCAGACCGACATTCCCCATTGTTTCCTGCTAACATATTTACGGAGCCTTTGCTTGTTGCCTTTCGTGTCCTGGACTAACTAGCACTGATTTTACACTGGAGCCTGTCTCAGTTTTTTTTTCCCTTCAGTTCTCCTACGTGGTACTTAGTCCTCCCCATGTTTTTACCTTGCTGACTTGATGCCTTTAGGGTACTCCTGCAGTTGCTGCAGTGCTTCCCCTCTCGCCTCCCTATGGAGATAACTTGCCCTCGCTCCACAGGATGGGCTGTCTGCCCCCGCTCCTGCCTGAGCTTGGTGTGCACTGCTAGTGTGCACTACCGCTTCTGGGTTTTGGGTGCTTCTGGGCTAAAGTGGCCTTGGTTTACTTCTCCTCTTGATTTGGTGGTTCACAGCCAGCCCAGCCTGCCTGCTCTTCCCGCTTTTACCTTTCCCTGGAGCCCTCAGCAAGGTTGCCTCCCCCTGCGTCCCAGGCTGAGGAGCACATCTCCCTTAATGTGCTGCCTAACATCTCTTCCTTGGGCTTCTGAGCAAGATCATCCCATCCGTAGCGATGTTCCGGTGCTGAGGTTTAGCCCAAGTTGGCAGTGCCTATTCAGTCATTGCTTTGGCTGCGTACGAAGGCTGATTTGTTCCTCAAGCGCTCTCATCTCCTCCTCCTTCCTCCCATGACTGCTGTGCTTTCTCCCACCACACCTGGTGTTTTTGCTTTCAGGCTCCCTCCCTGGGGCTGTGCTTCCCTTTCTTTGCCAGGCGGCCCCCTCCACCTGCACTAGGGATAACCCGATGTCCTCAGGGAGGCAGAGCTCTTCAGTCCTGCTGGGGTCTGTCGGTCACTGCCAGGGCCTTTGCTCTCCCTTGGGTGGCCAACTGAACCCATCAGCTGGTCCCC